GTGGAAAGGTAAATATAAATACCTTTAGTTTTCTGTAACTATTTCCTGCTGGTCCGGTGGGCAAACAGGTTTGTCTTCCTGTCACTATAGGATTGCTTTAAAGGACCACTATAGGCACCCAGACCACTTCAGCTTAATAAAGTGGTCTGGGTGCCAGGTCCATCTAGGATTAACCCTTTTTTTTAATAAACATAGCAGTTTCAGAGAAACTGCTATGTTTATAATATGAAAAAGGAGAAAGAGTGATAGGCGCTCACTATAGTGGTCAGGCAGCAGTATACAAAACAGGAATTCCCCAATCCTGTGAGTGAATAGTAAAGAGAAAAGAAGGCGTATACCGCGCCTAGTAGTTATTTTATACAGAAAAATACATACATATATCCTTGGATATTCCAATCAGTTGTAGCCTCAAAAAAATTAGAATAAAAAATAATAGTGCAATACAGTAGATGGAATTATTAAATATAAGCAATTAATGCTATGTACAGTCCACTCACATTTGTTTGAGCTATAACAGAGCTCTACTGTAAAGCGCCTGGACGGTACAATCCCCGTCTTAGGATTCGTAGTGGTTGCCACGGATGTTCTTAAGGTGCAATGTGCATAATAAATATAAGAAGAGATAGCAGCAATATGGTGAAGTAAGTACTAATAGTATATTCAGTAATAAAAAGTATTGTACTTACACTTTTTAGAGCATATAACTTGCTCCAGTATAAACAGCTTAGGTGGTATAATCCCCACCAAGGATATGCAGGATCCAGGAATAAAAAATAATATATATAAAAAGTAACTTTAAAAAAGTATATTTTAATATAAAATAAAACAATATAGGATAAAGGAATATAATAGAATGTCCCACTTAACGCGTTTCACCTAAACAGGCTTCTTCAGAAGTGTGGTAAAGAGTCCAAAAAGTCAATTTTTATATCCTGATTAATTAAATGATGATTTCCTGGTGTGTTACTTCCTGGTTCCGGGCTTCCGGTTGACACGCACGCGTCATACCGGAAATGACGCGGCACGCGCGTCATACCGGAAGTGACGTGTCGCTCGCGTCGAGCTAGAAAATACTTGCAGCATCAAAATGAAAAATAATAATAGTATTGTGGCGCATTGGGACGCACGTATCACCAATATATGGTGTGCGTGACGTTCCGAGCGCTGCCCGCTCTAAAGCCTCATGGAGTGAGGTGTGGGCATATAGTGCTGTGTAAATAGCTTGGCGGCCATCTTTATTTTGGGCAGCCATAGACAAAAGAATAAAGTGAACATTAAGATATTACCTATATATAGCAAATGCAAAAAGGGCTATACTTCTACAAGCTATATACCTCTATTACAGGAATAACATAATAGGGTATCAAGACAAATGATAAATAGTATTAAAAACAGCAAAAAGTCAGTACTATAATAGCACATAAAGAGTCTATAATACGAATGTAAATAGTAAATACCAATGTAAAATCATAATAATAAAATATTTTAAAAATAGTATCAATATTAAAACGTATCTATAATATAAAATAGATTAAGACTTATACAAAAAATGAGTACAATCTCTAGGCATAGATACAAATACATAAAAAAGCATAGAAGACATAAGAAAATATAAAAAGCATAAAAGGAACATGCTGTACATATATCTTAAGATCTGTTATAAAAAAGATACTGCAAACGTGAAAAAAAAAAAAAGGGGTTATAGAAAATTATATAGATCGAATTCAGCATTTAACCCCTTAGGGTGTAGAGTATCTAACTGGTATACCCATTGCATTTCAGTTTGACCGATCTTTTATAAAAAAAGGAGGAGATGTTATAAGAAAGATCGGTCAAACTGAAATGCAATGGGTATACCAGTTAGATACCCTACACCCTAAGGGGTTAAATGCTGAATTCGATCTATATAATTTTCTGTAACCCCTTTTTTTTTTTTTCACGTTTGCAGTATCTTTTTTATTTGTTTTATTTTATATTAAAGTATACTTTTTTAAAGTTACTTTTTATATATATTATTTTTTATTCCTGGATCCTGCATATCCTTGGTGGGGATTATACCACCTAAGCTGTTTATACTGGAGCAAGTTATATGCTCTAAAAAGTGTAAGTACAATACTTTTTATTACTGAATATACTATTAGTACTTACTTCACCATATTGCTGCTATCTCTTCTTATATTTATTATGCACATTGCACCTTGAGAACATCCGTGGCAACCACTACGAATCCTAAGACGGGGATTGTACCGTCCAGGCGATTTACAGTAGAGCTCTGTTATAGCTCATACAAATGTGAGTGGACTGTACATAGCATTAATTGCTTATATTTAATAATTCCATCTACTGTATTGCACTATTATTTTTTATTCTAATTTTTTTGAGGCTACAACTGATTGGAATATCCAAGGATATATGTATGTATTTTTCTGTATAAAATAACTACTAGGCGCGGTATACGCCTTCTTTTCTCTTTACTATGTTTATAATATGGTTAATCCAGCCTCTAGTGGCTGTCTCTTGACAACCGCTAGAGGCGCTTGCGTGCTTCTCACTGCGTGCTTCTCATTGTAAATGCTTTCCTATGAACTGGCTGAATGCTCGCACGGCTCCTGCCGCGCATGCGCATTCAGCCGATGACGTCGCTATGGAGGAGGAGAGCTTCCCGCCCGGCGCTGGAGAAAGGTAGGAGTTTAACCCCTTCCTCTCCCCAGAGCCCGGCAGGAGGGGGACCCTGAGGGTGGGGGCACCCTCTAGGCATTATAGTGCCAGGAAAACGAGTATGTTTTCCTGGCACTATAGTGGTCCTTTAAGTTAACTGCCCAGTCTTGTGCCTCATCCCACCATGTTTCTGTTATGCCTTTTATGTCATATTGCTTTGTGTATACTATTGCCTTTCGTTCCCCGTTTTGTTATTTAGGATACTTGTATTAGTAAGGACACATTTAATATTATCACTTGTACTTTATGTGAATTTATTACTATTACATACCTCCTCTGTTCTGATCTTACTCCATCTCCACCTCCCTTGTACTGAGCTAAAGTACATCTCCTTTCTGTATTATCTTCATTTTGTGGATTTCTGTGTCTCTCCCCCCACCAGCCTTCTAGCCATCCTATCTCCCAGCACTGCAAATCCTCTTTCGTTTAGGTGCAACCCATCACAGCTATAAAGATTGTACCCATGCAAAATATCAGCCCAGTGCTCTAAAAAGCCAAAAGCCCCCTTTCTACACCATAACTTTAACCATGCACTAACCTGCACAATTTCCCGCTTTCTTTCTTTCTTTCTTCTGTAACAAGTGGCACAGGCCATATTTCTGAAAATACTGTCTTGGAGGTCCTTTTATTCAGTTTACTTCCTAATTCCCTGAACTCAGGGCTAGAGTCCTGCAGGAACGCGTGGGAACGGCGTTCTTGCACTTTTTCCACAGCAGGAAAACTGTTCCCGTTAGTAGTTCTGCAGGCAGTGGCGTACTGAGGGGCGGGGGGTGTGGTCCGCCCCGGGTACCACTCACTAGAGGGGGACCATGACTGTCAGTGTCATGAGTCACCCCCCATACATTCTTATACTGTGGGCCGCGGCCGTCGGCTCACACTATATTGCAGTAATGTGAATAGAGGATATTTATGTGAAGGGGGTCAGGGGTGTATTCATTTTATGTGAAGGGGGTCCTGGGTGTATTAACTTTATTTGAAGGGGGTGTATGGATTTTATGTGAAGGGGTGTATTAATTTTATGTGAAGGGGCCAGGGTGCAAGGTTTTTATGTGTATGGGGTGCAGGATTTTTATGTGAAAGGGGTAGGGGGACAGAGTTTTAATGTGATGGGGCATGCAGTGTTTTTATGTGCAGGGGGTGCAGTGTTTTTATGTGAAGGGGGATGTTTGAATTTTATGGAAGGGGATGCAGGGTTTTTATGTGAAGGAGGTACAGGGTTTTCTGTTAAGGGGAGGTGCAGGGGTTTGGGGTAAGGGGGCAGGACAGGAGTTTTGTAGAATGGGGAAAGGCAGGGGCCTTTCTAATAAATGCATTTTCACTATCTCATAACCCTCATAACTTACCCTCTTCAGTGTTTCATGTACCCTCATTTGAATGTACCACCTTATTTTCCCCTTTGTGTTTCTTACAAGCGTTTTAGTGTATTTTATCCCCCCCTTTTGTGTGTCTTACACTCCCATGTGTGTCTCTTACAACCTTCCTTGTGTGTGTCTCTCTCCCCCAGCCCTTTTCTGTGTGTCTTTCCCCCAGCCTCTTTCTATGTCTCTTTCTCTTCCAACCCATTTTGTGTGTCCCTTCCTTCCAGTCCCTTTGTGTGCCTCTTTTCTCACAGGCCATACAGACATAGATATACAGACAAAAATACATACATGCACAAAGACACAAACATACAGACACACAACCATACAAGCACACAGACATAGTTATTGAGGCACCAAGTCACAAAGATATGCAGACATATAGTCATAAAAGGCACACAATCAAACACAGTTCAAGAGACAAACAGTCATGCAGTCTACACATACAGGTGCACTGTCATAAAAACAGACATACAGTCATACAGACATAGACACAGACATACACAGACATACAAACAAACACAGAGGCATTCAGAGACATACAGACAGGCATACAGAGACATACATTGAGACATACAGATACAGTTATAAAGAGGCATACAGTCTCAGACATATAGAGGCATACATACATAAGGAGAGATACAGAAACTGAAATTACAGACACAGACATATAGTCAAACAGACATTTGGACAGGCAGATAGAGGCATACATACACAGTCATACAGGACATACAGTCACAGTTATACAGAGGCATACAGTCACAGACATATAGAGGCATACAGAGACATACAGACAGAAAGAGAGATACAGATACAGACTTATAGTCATACACAGACATACAGACAAAGACATACAGAAACATACAGATAGGCATTAATAGACATGCAATGGCATACATACAGAGACATACAGTCACACAGAGACATAAAAAAGACTACTTTTTAACAACAATGAGTGTAGCACATGGTGTGCTCCATTTGGTTGCAAGTGGAGCTAGAGGACTTCCTGAGGACATTAGTTGGACCTGCCTTTTAAACATTTATACTATTGGAACTGCATTCATATTTATCTAGTTGATAAAAGCAAGGATACAATTTCCAGAGCGTCAGTTTTATTATAAAGTCACTCTTTCCAGTGGGAAATAACTGGCATTTGTCCCAGAAAGACAGCTGTCAATAAAGCTAATACCGAGAGAATAGTTCAGAAATTAGGAAAATCAGATGCTGTTGTCGAAAGCTGTCCTTACACCTTGAAAAGGAAAATAGTCATGGTTATTACAGCACGGCTCAGATTAACCCCTTCTTTAACAATCACACATAAACACAGCTGACAAGACGTATACACTTATTACCCAACCTCATGTATATACATTGTTTACATAATTGTCCTACACAAAATAAATTGTGAAATCAACACAATTTACTAATGTTCACTAGATGCGGAGTATTTGTTGTGAGCCCAATTGTGACTTTTTATCTAGTGTGTCATGTTACGAATGTCTAAGAGTCTTATAAATGTCTTTTATAGAGTAATGGTTGACACAGGAAATTAGTTCTGAAATGTGATATGGAATACTCAACAATCACAACAACAGAAAGTGAAATAAACAGGTGATATGGAGATTTCATGAAAAGTCTGTGAATATGTTTTCGTTTGTTTTGTTTTTTTCTGTTGTGCTGTATTGTCTTTGCATGTATTTTTTTATATTGTTCATAAAGACATTACATAGGAGATTCTGTTGTCTGTGTTTTGCGTTATTAAATATGCTGCCTCTGAAAACAGTCTGTGTGTGTGTGTTTGGAGCTGTGTGCGTGTTTGAGGTTGTGTGTGTTAGAGGATGTGCATGTTTGATAGTGTTCATTTGCATGTTCCACAACACTATAAAACTATATAATTCTGGTATACTGGGAGTGGTAAGTAGCCTGTGTAACCTTAAGAGTTTTTATAGATTAATAGCATTCTACTACCAGAATTACAAGATTATATATAGGCCAAAGTGATAATTAAATTGTTTGGTTCTGTCATCTATAATGTCATCACCACCATGCATCGCTGTATCCACATTAACCCCACACTTTGTATGTAAATCAGGCTGAAAAGGAAAAAAAAATTTTTACAAATGATTCTGTGCCGTTCCTCCTCCTGTCATGAAACTAAGCGACCCTGGAGGCCTTGTACAGGGCCAATGTCGAGCTCATCAGGTTTGGGGAATCTCTTGGCAATAAAGGGGTTAAGTTAACAAGCCAATACATGTTATAAAAAAAACCTGTTACATAAACTGAAGTCTCATCTAGCAAGTGCTTACATGCACGGTGAAAAGTATAATATTTCATGCATTTGTACAAAAAATGAAAGTTATATCAGTACATTTTACATGGACTTGCAAATGTGTGATTGAGAAATCAATAAATGGAACCGGCGATGTATAAAATATATTTAGTTTTCCACATCTCTGCTTTTTCTTTTGTAAAAAAATATTTAAAATGTTTTAATTGTATTCTTTTTTTAATTTGCCGTTTAAGATCATTTTGAATTCATCATGCTAAAACTCCAATTCTATTTGAGCTATATTCACTAAACGGCAAGTTGTGATTATTTGAAAATCAACTTTCTGTTGTTTTAGCCCAGATTTGGTGCTTCTCACATTACCACAATTTGCTTTTAGGTGTCGTTGTTAGTTTATGTTTTTCTACGGTTAGTATTCTACATTTGTTCCCTAAGGAGGATATCAGCCGAAAGGGAATGATGAATATTTATTCCAGATATTTGTCTCAAGTTTTATAGAAACTAATTTTCTTGAAATTCTAATGGCAATAGGTTTTATTGCAGGATATTAAATATGATTATATTTAGAGCAAGAAATTATATTTTTCTTGCTTTTCCGTTAATATTTTGAGAGCGCAGACTTTTTTGTTCAATCTTTTCACTGCCAAATACGTTCAAAAAACAAATTTAGTGGTGTGATGTAAAAAGTAGATGTTTTAGCAGAGTCAAGCAATCGCGTCTTTGAAGTGTTTAATATAATTAAATATATTATGAGGTACAAAAACAGATTTGCCTTCAGTTGAAGCAATATAATGGTTGTTCAAATTATAACTAGCAGGTTAGAGAATAATCTGTACTGAGGGATACATGTATGTATATTTTACCAATAGAAGGTTCATCTCCAACGTGATTGGTATATGAATAATAATTGGCAGCTATTAAGGGCTGAAAACAACCAACAGGTTTCCATCATCCAGACTTTTGCCTATTACACCTACAGATACAGTACGCTTCTTATCAATTAACTTGAAAATAAAGGCTGTGCTCTAAGTTGTCACCATAGCAATCACAACTGGAATATTTAAAAGGCACCTTCAGTGCATTGACTGTTCACTAATTGTCTGAACACTCTGGTCGTTAGACAGACACAGCCGGTCCTATTCATAATTATGTGACTTCAATATTACTGTCACAGCCAGGGGACGTGTGGCTAGGGCTGTATGACCAAAGTGATTTAACTCCTAGATGACAGTGAGACTGCAAGTGGCATTATCTTTACACTAAAACCGCTTTATTAAAGGACACCAATACTACTTTAATGCATTTGATAGGTTTTGGTCTCATTAATGGGCTGTTTTTTTGGGGGGGGGGGGTTTGCATGCGCAAATAGTTTTTGCACGAAACCAAGGTTTTCCAGAATGCTCCATACGCCAGCCCCTTTAGCCAAACCCTTTAATCTAGAAAAATACTTCCTGATCAAAAAGGTTTCCGCACGGCTCAGCCACTGACAGTACTGAATGATATGAACTAAAAACAATCTGCATTAGAATGTAGCCCATGGAGCAGCGCAGCTAATGGGAATAGGCCTTGACATTGCTAGGAGACAGGCATAGGAGGGGTGTAATGTAGGGGACTGGCTAGCATAACTAGAGGAGGGGTTTGTGTTGGAGGGGTATATATAGTGGCCATTTTAAATCAGTGGCCATCTTAATTAATCCTCACTTACCTGTTTTGCCCTCCCTCCCTCCCTTATTTGGTCTCTTGCTTCCGTTTGGTCACGGGGGCGGGGGATGGATAGAGAAGTTTGGGTGCAGGTTGTTTGTCCTGATGGAAAATAGTTTTGATTCGCTAAGAACAGTTTGGTTTGGAAGAGTCTTGGTAGGTTCAAGCTCGTCGGTAGCTCTGACCCTGGTGTGTGTAGGGTGTATCTCGGTATACCCCTACATGGACAGTTTGGTGTGGAAGAGTATTGGTAGGTTTGAGCTCGTCAGTAGCTCTGAACCTGGCGTGTAGGGTGTATCTCGGTATGCCACTACATGGAAGAAGTTGGAAACCATGCACTCGGTGGCAATGGTTATGTCATGCCCTCGGTGGCATTGTTTATGTCATGCCTTAGGTGGCAATAGTTATGTTATATGTTAATTATATGTTATAAAGTGGTTTTACTTATTGTGTTGTGGGTCATAATCTGGCGTAGTATTGTTAAAGGAGTTGGGGGGGGATATGTTATGTTAACAATGACCCTAAAATATTTTAACTTTATTTATATATTAATAAAGCTGTGATAAGTTTCCCAAGTAAAGGTGTCCGAGTATTTGTGGGGGGTTTGGGTTTATCACACATATGCAGAAAAAGGCGACTATGCATATGTCAGGATCACTACTAGACTTGGGCGTTCGTTTTCGGATTAACACTTTTTTATCAATTCTGCAATTCGGCCATTCATTTGAAAGATGAATGGATGAATATAAATATAACAAATGAAACGATTAATGAATTGCTTGTAGAACTAAATTTCATCCTGCAATTTGTTCTTTTGTTCTTTCATTTTAGTCTATTAAAAGGAGGGAGCTACCGGCTTGCAGCTCTCTCCTTGTAATATTTAAAGAAGAGGTGCTCTCTGCCACTTCCTAAACCTCTCATGCCCCCCCTCTCACCCTATGGGGTTCATTATACCCATATTCGTATAAGGGAGGTTGGATCCTCCCTCATGCCCTTACCAGCAGTGCAGTGTGTTGGGGCATGTCTACTGGCTGCTTGCTGTCATAGGAAAATACCAGCAACTGGATAGCTAATCCTTTAAAGGGGATTGTAGCAAAATAAGTAACTGAGTGGAAATAGTATCCCCCATGCCTTCACTTGTGCCCTGTAAGTGGGGCCATTAAAATAATTGGGGTCCTCCAACACCCCCCCCCCCCTTCCTACCCTCAAATAAAAGAAGATCTGATCGCAAAAACACCACACCAGAAAGAAATTCTGCCGAAAACATTATCCATTTACACCTTGCAATGGCATAGCTTATTTTTTTGACTGGGTCATTTTTTATTTTAATAGTTGTGATTCGACTTCATGGCTTTTTATTTGGAAAAAGAAAATAACATCTAATGGAAAGTATTGTTTTTATTTTACAGGTATTAAGTTTATTGGCCCTCCCTCATTATTATTAGGGTAAGGGGGGTAAAGAGGGTATTTTTTATGGGATGTGACTAGGAACTTGGGGACCTTTTGTCACTGGGTGGATCGTTATATAGGGGAAGCAACAGATCCACACCCCCTTTTAATATTATTTAGGGCACCCACCCACTTGCTGTGTGTGTCCCTCCGTTGTTTTTTAGAGTCCTCACCTGCTGCCAATGGGTGGGGGTGGGGGACACTATGTCCCCCTGTTCATTTTATTTAAGTTATCTATTAAACAGCTACAAGACGCAGCCAGCAGCATGGAATGGAATTTCATTCGTTGATATTAAATTCTGAACTGAAAATAATGTTTGAATATTGTCAGAGAACAAATGACCAAATAGACAAAACTAACATGTTTTGTTTTTGGATGAAACTAAAATTTCAGCAGCACCCAGGTCTAATCACTACCTGTTTATATTTTCTCTGACTGTCTGCAGCCAGCTTGTGAATTAAAAGCAGCTCCCTCAGTGCGGTTGGGGCTCGGACTGTGAGCATACATTCGATAATGAAGTCTTTCTGGAGTAAGGGGGAGTTGCCAAAGAGGCAGGATTATGGTGCAGTGTTCCTCAAAACATTTATTTTGTGCTCAAACTATAAAGATTAGAGAGTGCAAAAAAATAAAGCATATTAATGAAGCCAAAATCTATCAAATGCACTAAAGTTGCATTGGTGCCCGGAGTGTTCCTTTAAGCTAACATTTCAGTGTAGATTATCCCTTTAAATATGGGGGGAAATCTACATATATTTTTCTACAGG